TGCACCGTCTCGCCACCCACTTCCGTCTCTTCCTCGCCTCCCCCCAAGGGGGCGAGCCGGGCGCTCGTGGTTTAAACCTGCTGATCCGCAAAGACGGCCGGACGGTGAATCTGGGCGGGAAGACGTCGGTGCCCGTGTACCCCGGGGTAAGGGTGCGGCCTGGCCTGTCCTCCCCCCGCCCCGAGGGTGAACGGAGTTGCTAAAGTCACCAGAGACCGAGTTTAATTTGGCTCCCGAAGGAAAGGGGACCGCATCCTGGGCCTCCGGGGTGCAGACAGACAGGAGATGGGCGCTGCCCGGCTGGGGCGGGGACCTCGCTGCGGCCAACACGCTCCTCTGCTCCACAGGACGTGTTCTGCCTCCACACCCCCGGCGGCGGGGGCTACGGGGACCCGGAGGACCCCGCCCCACCGCCGGGGTCGCCCCAGCAAGCGCCGGCCTTCCCCGAGCGCGGCAGCGTGTACGAGTACCGCCGGGCCCAGGAGGCTGTGTGAGGGCCTCAATAAAGAGCGCTGAGGCCGCCCGGGTCTGTCTGCGCCGGCTGCGCCCTGTCGTCTGCGCGCCTCGGTGACGGGAGCACCGACACTCGGAGCTGAAGGCCCACGGCCAGGTGGTCTGTGAGCCCCGCCAGGGCGGTGCTGAACGTCACCTGTTCTACCTCCTGGGGACGGGGGGCAGGTTGAGGGGTAGTGCCCGCGCCCGCAGGCCAGCCTCCCTGCGCTCTGGCACTTACCGGGCTCAGCGGGCCCTCGGGCACCCCCCGGTACGTGACGTAGTCCAGGCGCCGGCCCCGCCAGGGTTTAGCCCAGAGGCCGCCCCTGGGCGGGCCTGCCAGGTAGAGGCGGCGCCCTTTCTCCTTCTCCAGGGCCCTGGGGGAGGGGCAGTGCCTGGTGTCACCGCGGCCGGGGCACCCGTCCAGGCCGGGGGACGGCGGTGCCTGGCCGCCCGGTCGCCACTCACCTCTGCAGCATCTCGGGCGACCTGGCCACCGACTGGTGGAGCCTGGAGGTGTTCAGTATCGTTCCTTGGCCGGGCCCGGGGACCCCCGCCCCAACCTCCCCTTACCACGCGAGCAGTTGTCGAAATTGAGGTCGCCTAGCAGCACGCTGAAGGCCACGGCCTCGCCGGTGTGGCGGCTCTCGGCCTCAAACTGCTCGGCCCAGTCTAGCAGCAGCGTCAGCTGACTGCAGCGCAAGGGCCCGTCTTCTGCAGGACGAAGGGGTGTGGGGTCTGCTCAGCCCGGAGTGCGGATGCATCTCCTCCGTTCCTGATCTGTGAGCCCACCCAGGCGCTCCTCAGGGCTACCGGTGCCAGGGGTAGTGAACAAACACCGGGACGTGGGGAGCGGAGGTGCAGCCGAGGGTAGGGGCCTGCTGCTGCCACGGAGAGTAGTGAGGCGGCCAGGCCACGTTCCGACGACCCCACCGGCAGGGCTCACCACTCGGTGCGTGCAAGTGCGTGCAGTGCAGGAATCCCACGATGCGGCGCCCGTCCAGGTTGCCCAGCTGCGCCTGCAACACCACGGACGGCCCCAGCTCCCCTTACCCGTTACGCCCAACACTCCGCCTCCTCCCTGGCCAGGGCGCGCCGCGGCTGGTGAGCCTGTACCAGTGCGGACAGTAGTCCCTTGGAAGCCAGTGCTTCCTCACGGCGCGCGTTGGGGAAGCAGCGGAAGGAGGCGCGCAGTAGCGGGTAGCGCGAGGCCAGCAGCAGCCCGCTGCCCAGAAGCTTGAGGTACGGCCCGGGCTGTAGGCCCAGCGTGCCCACGTCGTACAGCACCGGACCCAGATTGGGTGCAAGGCGGCGCACCAAGCGACGAGCCGCCCGCAGATCGAACACCTCCTGCAGGCACACGAAGTCGAGATCCGCGGGCACCGCGGCCATCAGCACCCCTCGCGGCGCTCTGGGCCACGGCGGGCTGCAGCCCGTAGCCCTGTAGGGCGAGGGCCGCAGGCCGGCTAGCAGCGCGGCGCCAATGGCCCGGGCCCGCTGCTGGCTGTGAGACAGGTTGCTGAAGCGCGCTAGCCCGTCGGGGAACAGGCACAGATTGGCTGTGAGAAAGACGAAGGAGCGCAGGGACTCAGCAGGCGCACGCCAGGGCGCGGGCGGCGCCCAGCAGGGCGGAGGGGGCTGGTAGCAGAAGGGGCGGCGCCAGGACTGCAGCGGCAGCCAGAGCAGCAGGCCGGGCAGCGCCAGGGGCAGACCGACCAGCAGCAGCAGCAGCAGCGCCGCCCCGCCGCCCAGCGCCGCTCTCAGCCCGTCCAGGCTGCTCGGGCGCGCGGTGGGTGCACAACAGCCCAGCAGGTGATCCAGGGCCCAGTAGGCCGGGAAAAGCAGCACGCGGGCCGTGCCGTGTAGCACATGTAGCACGGGGTGTGGGAAGGCTGAGGGCCGCAGGGCAGCCGGCGCCGGGGGCCAGTCAGGCGGGTGTTGCATGGCACACGGGGCTCCTTGGCCGCGGGCCGCCCAGGACTCTCATTCGCTGCCAGAATGCGACTCGTTTCGTAGGTGCGTCCGCGAGAGGTGCCAGGGAGTCACAGGGGCCAAGGCCACGGAGCCAATTCTGTGCGCAGAGCCGGTAAGGCCCTGTGCACCGCGAGTCTGGGGGTTCAGGCGCAGGCACAGAGGGGCATTTCGGGGAAGCCGCTCCCCTCATTCGCGCGTAACTTCGGCGGCCCTTGGGGCAACAAAAGGGAACGCGAAAAGGACTCTGACCTCGCAGCCCTGCCGCAGATCCTCCTTGCCCGCCCCGTCCACCCCTGGAGGCAGTGGGGGAGACCGCGAGCCCCGGCCCAGCGCTGGCGGGATCTGGGGCGCAGCCGGCATCAAGTGGAGGGCGGTTCTCCGAGTACCGCCGGCGCCCCGCCCCTCACTCCCACTCTCCGGCTCGGCACAGAGCGGGCCTGGCTCCCCGGCGCCCCAGTGTCCGACGCCTGACTTCAAAGACCCGACACCGGCTGAGGGACAAACTAGGAGCCTCACCAGCCCCGCTCCCCACCCCCACCCCGCCCGGCGCCTCGCAGAGCTCCCAAAAAGGCCTCCCGCCGTGGCGGCGGCGGGGCCCCGGGACCCTACCCCGAGGAGCTTCCAGTCTGGGGAGAGGGACCGTTGGTTCCGCCCTGCGTGACCGCTCCGCTGCAGCGCGCGAGCCACATGGAAGCCCGCTCCTCGTTCGCGGAGCCTCTGGCAGCCGCGCCGTCGGTTCCCAGGACAGTGACGCCCGGAGGTCCCAGGCGCCGCCTGCCTCCCCGTAGGTGCCCACCTCTCTAAGGCGGGCTGTGAGACAGCACCCGTGCCCGCGGTCAGAGGGTACGAGTGTCTCAAATAGCCCTGGAGGGCTGGCCGGTTAGCTCAGCCGGTTACAGCGTGATGCTGATAACACCAAGGTCCAGGGCCGCCACAAAAAAAAGGAAAGGAAAAGCCCCGGAGGGCGGTGGAAGGGCTTCGTCTGGTCAGGGTGGCGCCACACACGTTGCCTGCTGGGTCAACAGTCCTTCCCTGCCCTTCCCAGGGGCTGAGCAAGAGGCTCAGTGGTCTGGCTCGATCCCCCAAAGTCCTGGGCATCCTGGCAGGAGGGGCCCAGCATACCCCACACACCCTCTGTCCCTGGACTCCTTGCAGTGTGCTAACCCTAACCCTGTGGCCCCTCTGTTCCCTCCTGCGTTCTCTCTGGCTAGCAAGTGTACTGGGACCTTCTCAGTGGGGTCCTTGTTCCTGCCACCCGCTCCTCCCACTGCAGCCTGGGCTTCCTTGCCGGACCACAGGCAGGCACTCTCCTTTCCCACCTCGTGGGCCGGAGGCCACACAGGGCTTCCCCACTCTGTCCTTTGCTCCTCATGCACTCGCACCCAACCCACCCTGGCCTGCACCCCGTAGCTTCCTGCGTTGTCCACAAACCCTTCCAGTGTGGTCTGCAGGTTACCTCCCAGCGTCCCATCCTGCCCCATTCCACCTTTCCCCTCACGTGGCTGGCTTCCCCATCCTGCCTGTGCTGCTCGGCCCCTGCAGCAGGTGGGGTCTGCCCTTGCCAGCTCTGAACCCCCCACCCCAGGTCTCCGGGACTCTGTGGAGTGGGCCTCTTCCTCCCAGACCTTGGGTGTCTTGGGAAGGGGCCGCCACATGCTCAGGTTTGGGTGGGGTTGCTTTCTTCTGGCTCTCCTCCGTCTACTGCTCTCTTGCCCTCAGGTCTGGAAGCCCCAACCCCACCTCAGTCCCTGCCTAATATGGAGGGAGGGACCCCCACACCCACATGTCTGTCTCCTCCCCGCTCTGCTTTCTGCTCTGCACTGAGGTCAGAACTCTGTGCCCCTCACTGGTGCTGCTGGTGGCACAGAGCCATGGCACTTCCCTGACCACTCCACTCCTTTCCAATTCCTGCCCTTCCTGCTCCAAGTCTCAGGGGCTCTTGCTGCTCCCACCGCCAGATGAGGGGAGCCTGGGGGCCTTCAGGCCCACTCCTCAGCTGAGCCTCGGTCTTGGGGCTCTCACAGAGGCCCTGGGATGGGCGTGGCCCTCTAGGGTATGCAGAACTGCAGGGGTGTGGTGCAGGAATCTGGCAAACTCCCCCAGAGGAGGCAGCACCAGCCAGGAGTGCGGGCCCAGCGGCCAGCGCCCATGGGAAGCTTTAATGGCTGTGTACAGGGATGTGGGACAGAGTGAGCTGCGGCTTCACCAGATGAACATGGGCTTGCCATCGTCGTGTGCCAGCTGGTTGAGGCACGAGAGCAGCAGCAGCGCATCACTGAGCATACTGGGATGCACGGTCTCCACCACCACTTGCTGCAGAAAGTCCACAGTGTAGGAGCAACCCTCGGACGCGGCCAGCTCGGGCCGCTCACGCAGGATGCCGTAGGCATTCACCAGCTGCTCGGTCAGCGCCGGGTGCAGCCGCCCATTGTAGCCCAGGCTCTGCAGCCTGTTCATGATGCTCACGTAGCGCTGAGTGAGTGTCTGGCACAGCTCCTCGTCCAGCTTGTGGTCACTGGGGTTCAGGGAGGCCTGTGGAGAAAGCAGCCATCGGGGACCCGCCTTCCCCACACCTCCTAGCACACAGGCAGGGAAGGGGAAGACCAAGCGGCAAATGAAGCTGGCGCAGTTGCTGGGGTGGCTGTGGGAGGGCCACTATCAGAGGGGGTGTAGTGGAGGTGGTCCTGGGCGAGAGGCCCAGGGGGTGCAGGGTAGGCGAACCCACAGGGCTGAGCCTGACAGAGAGGTAGCCAAGGCTCAACAGTTGCTGGGGTGGCTGTGGGAGGGCCACTATCAGAGGGGGTGTAGTGGAGGTGGTCCTGGGAGAGAGGCCCAGGGGGTGCAGGGTAGGCGAACCCAGAGGGCTGAGCCTGACACAGAGGTAGCCGAGGCTCAATCCGGGCAGGACCAGGGGCTCCCCAAAGCTCCCCAGTGGGGCCTCTGCCACAGGGGAGGAGGGGGGAGGTCCCATTCCTAATCATCTGCTCCATCCGGCACCAGGGTCTGAGGACGGGGGATGGAAGGAAAGAGAAGGGCTGGCTCCTAATGCCCCTGGGCTGTCTGACCCAGGAGTCTCAGGGCCAGGCCTCCTCCTGGCTCTCTGCTCTGCCTCCTCTGGAGGCCTTCATTACTCTGGGCTCCATCCTCGGCACACCCCTTGTGGGACTCTCTTCCCCAATGCTTAACTGACACCCCAGCCAAACACTCTTGACCTCAGCACTTAGGGTCCTGCCCCCTCACCCACCAGCTCCTGGTGCCCAGACCTGGAGACTGGCAGCATCTGGGTCAGTGTCCACTCACTTCCTCATTGCCTGTGTCCCCCCAGCCAGGCAGTGACTGTGTTCTGCAGCATCTCTTCAGGAAGGCAGCCCCTCTTCCCCACCCCACCTGCCACTGCCTCTGCTCTCACCATCCTGAAGTTCTTTGTAAGTTTTGGACAAGGGCCCTGTATTTTCATTTTGCACTGGGCCCTGCAAATTATGTAGCCTGTCACAGATGCAGCTGCCCCCTACCTCCAGCTCAGCCCCTGCTCCTTCTCTGCACAGATGCACAGAGTCATGGATCTGAAGTGGAAGTCAGATGGGCTCTCTCCCTGCCTGAGCCCCTCCTACAGTTCCCATTGCTCCAACTCTCAGGGCCAGGGCTGAGCTGCAGGGTCCCCAATCTGGCTCTGCACAACCCCCTCTAGCTGCATCCTCCTGTGCCCCAGATGTCTGACGTGCTGGTTTCCAACTTGCTGGGAATACTTTTCTCCAGACAGGGTGCTCAGGCATCACCTCCCCCAGGAAGACTTCCCTGGCCTCCCCTCCCTGGCTGGTGGTGTGAGCAGAGCACCGAGCTCAGGATTGGGCTCAGGGCCAGCTCAGTCAAAGCGATCCCTGACCTCCAGCAGGTGCTCTCAGCTCTGTGCTCAGTGTCTTCACTGCCTGATCAGCACCTGGAACATGCTTGTCTCCCTGACAGCCTTCCAGGTAAAGGAGCACCCTGCACAAGGGGAGTGCCTTGAAAGATACCAGTGACACCCAGTGCAGTGGGGAGAGCGCTGTGGAAAGCCAGGTTCAGTGGCTGCTTCCCTCACCACACTGGGTCTGAGCCTAAGTTTCCCTGCTGTGAAGGAAGGGACGTGGAGGAAATCACAGCACCACCCAAAGGGTCCGTTTTGGGAATTATAGGAAATGACTGCGGTGAGCACTGAGCCCAGCACCTTGGGGAGACGGTGCCCTGAACCTCCACCACAGGAAATGTCAGGGGGCTCCCACACTGCAGCAGAATTGTGTTTCAAAATAGCACTCTGGCTGGCCCTAAAGGAAGAGAGAGGCAGGGGCGTCCTGGATGTTGAAGCATGCCAGGATGAGGCCAGGATCTGGCTGGTGAGAGACTAAAAGGCCACGCCATCATCTCTCAGGTCCCCTCCCTCAAACTCTCCTGACCCCATGGCGTGCATCACCTGCTGACCTTCTATCATGTATGTATTTAATGCTTATCGAAGTCCTCCCCAGCAGAGGGTGAGCTGCTTGAGAGCAGGGGCTGTATCTATTTGGTATGCACTTGGCTTCACACTAGTCAGGAGTGAATTGGACACAGGGAAGGTAGCTGTGGATCATGTAAGAGTCGGCAGTGGTTTGGACTATGGGTAGGAGCGGAGGATGAGAGAAGAGAGTAGATGGGGGAAAATATTTAGAGGGAGGTTCAGTAGGAGCTGGCGTGACCACATATCCATACCTCCGAGAGACCACGTGCATGTACACCATGCAGTCTTTCCATCCTGGAACACTGATGCCATTGACCACATGCTAACGATCAGGGAAATGGTACCACGTGTCACAGAATCAGTGTCTAATAGCCCTTGTTCTCTGAACACAGGGCAAGTGCATTAGAATTTAATAAAAAGGCAGCCAAAAGACCCTGAGCATGTTGACAGCACCAAAATGGAGTCACGTCAAACTAACAAAATTGAGTTAGGAGGCCACGAAGCAGCAGCCCTCACGCACACACACATGCCTGCAGCAGGACTTATCACAACGCATTCCTACCTGCAGACCGGTAACATACCCTACTGCGAGAACTTCAAGACTGCAGTGTTCCAGATAAGCTGTTTGCACAAGCACATTTACCTGGCAATGGCTGTCTCCACCAGTGGACCAAGGCCAACTCCTGCCATGAGCTCATGACCCACGAACCTCGTTTCAAAGCAGCTTACATGGACTTCTCTTTGTCTTTAAAACCTTCCCCTTTGTTCCAACCCCTTGGGTATACCTATGATCTGCCATAGCATGCCTATTCTGGATTGCAATCCCTGGTTATTCCCAAATGCACACATTTGTTCTGGAGAGCATGTCTGAGTTTCTTCTTAGGTTGACACCCCTCAGAGGACGGAAACGGAAAACGAATCCTAATTGACCCATAGGTTAGAGAGGAAATCCAATTCGGCTTGTGAAATATTTAGACCTAAACAGCGGCATGCCCTCCTGTCTAACCCTGTGGGAGGCAGCCAGAGCCCTGCTGCGAGGCGGGCTGGAGCTCTGCAGGCACGTGGGCCACGGTGGCTGTTGTAAAAGCACTGCAGCATTTGCCAGCCAGCTGGGACCCCCACCCGGCTTTTGCCCCTGGCCAGGACCCACTGTAGTGGTTGGTGGTTCTGTTGTACTGTTGTTCCATCTCTCTAATTAAAGGGAACTTCGTTGCCCTAAATATATTTATTTAAAAACAAAAAAATATAAATAAAAGAGATAAAAGAGAAAAAATTAAAAATACACTTTAAAAAGATAAGACGATTTAGGTGTTCAACTCAAGAAAGAAAAATAACAAAGCAAACCTAAAGGATGCGGAAGAAAGGAAATAACGAAGAGCAGAAATTAGGAAGCACAATCCAAAGCATCATCAGAGAGAATCAGCGAAACAAAACCGGGCAGAGCCGACCCCCCACCCAGGAGCCAGCACAGAGCGCCACGTGCGCCCCGCACCCGCGGCCCGCCTGCGCGTCACTAAGTTCCAGCCAATGGGATGAGACGATGACTGCGCGCCCCGCCCCCTGGAGGCGGAGCTCCGAGTTGCGGGCTGCGGGGACCAGGACACGCGGGAGGGGGGGCCGGAGCGCCGCCGAGAGGGACTCGCCTGGCCGAGGGAAGCGCCTGCGTTTGTGTCCCAGCAGCTCGGCGTGGTCCCCTATCTACAGAAGAGCGAAACTGCAGAGTCGTAACAGCAGACCGAGCATCACGGCGCATTGAAAACACCAGGGGTAGGGCTGGGTTATCATCAGACACTCTGTCACGCATCCCAGTGTGCTCAGAGGAAGGGGGGAGCCCATGGGACATCTCAGAGGGACAGAAAAGGCATTCTAGAAAAAATATGTGTTGGTGGGCCGGCCCGTGGCTCACTCGGGAGAGCGTGGTGCTGACAACACCAAGGCCACGGGTTAAGATCCCCTTACCGGTCATCTTTTAAAAAAAAGGAAGAAAAAGAAAAAAAATATTCGTTCATGATTAAAAAAACCCACAACCATCAACCACCAAAATAACTCTCAACAAATGATGACTAGAAGGAAAACGTATTAACCCGAAGAGGCAGATACTGAAACTGGCTCACCCTGCTTCTGTTCTAGAACCATCTCTTGCCTCCCTGAACTCTAAGAGGCTGGAAGCTAAACGTCAGCTTTTCCAGACTCCCCTGCAGCCAAGGTGCCCCTAGACCTGAGTTTCTGCCAACTGGACTACATGGGTGGTAGGTGGAGGTGGGCACCTGGGGAGGTAGTGCATGCAGGGGGAGCAGGTTTTTGGGGGACTGTGATGGCTATGGCTCTGGTTCTTTGGGGGTAGCTGGGTGTCTGCAGTGGTGACAATGGCACGTCCATTAGGAAAGTCCCTTGGTGTGTTGGCATTTTTTCCTGGCAGTATAGCAAACAAACCCAATTGTACGTCCGTCCTGATGCTTCTGTCACAACTAAACCTTCATCATAAACCCTTTTCTGCTTACATCGGCTAGTGTGGATTCTGTTGTCTGCAACCACAAATGTGGACTGATGTGCCCAAGAAAGAAGATCTGTCAAGTGGCCTGGAACAGACATCATACTTAATGGGGAGACTAGAAGTGTTTCTAGTCAAGGCAGACGGAAGATAAGGTTGCCCGTATTATTTGCTTCTTTTAAATACTCTACCCAAGAGTCTAGACAATGTAAGCTATGATATAATAAAAAAATGATTTTTAAGAATTAGAAGAGAGTTACAAGCTTCCCTATTTGTAGACAATATCATTCTCTACAAAGAAAAACCAAGATGAAATACAGGCTACTGGAACTAGTACGAGGGTTTGGCGAGGTGACTGGACACCAAATCGTACAGAAATCAAAAACAGCTGCAGCAGGTCAGTGAGTGGGACTCCAGGGAGCTTGAGAGGTCAGCGTGGACCCAGCCAGATCTGGTCACAGGGACCATCCAGCATCCTGGCACTGCCCTCCGTCCCCTCACACTGATGCTGCTGGATTCAGGGTCTCCTAGGACCAGGGTGCTGAGAGGAACAGAGTGGAGAACGTCTCCCAGAGAGCAGAAGACTGGGTAGAAGAGGGGACAGGCGTGAACACCAAGACAACTTTTAGTTGGGTTTAAAAGATGGCATAACTGTCTGTGAACTCATGCAAAAAAAAAAGACAGCAGGTTCGGCGAGGAAAGTCTGTGAGTTCTTATGGAACGACGGGCTCAGTTAAAGTGGCTCAGCCGCGTGGCGGAAAGCTGTGGCCTTCATTAAGCTAGTGACCCTGGTTTGGATAATACCAGGTTTGACCAGGTTTAGCAGGTCTGGGCAGAATTTCAGGGTTCTAGCAACCCCTGATACTGGAGTTCAATGTGTAGGAAAATAAAATGTTTTGAGGAAGGGAAATAAAAGGTGGGGGCGAAGCGGGATTAGATGCAGACGAGGACCAGCAGATGCCCCACCAGGCAGGTGGCCTTGAGACCAGGGGGCATCTGTGTGATTCCAAAGTGTGACCAGACATCAGCCAGCCTGCACTGCAGCAGGCTTTACCGAGGGCCAGCTGGGGGCGTCAGCCCAGGTCCAGAAGGCAACTTCTCTGCAGGTGGCTCCAATGCACCAGCTTCCCTGGGCGAACGAGGGTCTCGGGGCTTGGGCAGCAAGTGTGCGATCTCCACAGACCTGGTCATTGCTGATGGAAGGCGAAGGGACCAGTGGGTCTGGAACTGGTGATGGTGGTTCTTGGGTAAAATAACTAGAGAGTGTCATGGTGGGAGCCAGAGACCTCCCAGAGCCTGCCAACGTGTTGGGAAGCACCACACTGGCACTGACTTCCTCAAACACTGAAGAAATACCACCTTCCATACACTGCCCTTTCCTTCTCCTGCCTCTTCCCTAAAGCGTTGCCACTTGGTGCCAGGACTGTTAAATTCTGTGGCCTAAGCAATAACTCCCATGCCAAGTGCAGGGAGTGCCATGAAAGGGAGGACTGGCACAGCCAGCTCCTGTGTCAAGGGGCCGCGATTTTTATCATCTTCCATGTAGTCGGGCATTTTCAAAAAATAGGAAGCCTCTTTTCACAGTTTAATATCTAATTTGTATGTTGACAACTAGATTTTTCCTTGTAAGTAAATGTAGTCTTTGCCAACTAGCCATCAGGTGCAATATTTTTTGTTTTTTCTTTTTGGCGGATGGCCAGTACGGGGATCTGAACCCACAGCCTTGGTGTTATCAACACTGCACTCTACCAGCTGAGCCAACTGGCCAGCCCGAGGTGTGGCATTTTAGAGACATAAGTAAACATCATGCTTCTACAGTGTCATTTCCTGGGTTTTACATAGCCCCAGCCAGCCTTCCCTCGTGACAAAGCCACGGTGCTCCTGGACAGCAGTCAAAGGTCGTCCACCAGAAACTTGACCAGAGGGCCCCGCTGACACAAGCAACAGGAACAACGGGGTGCTTAGGAATAACCAACATTGTAAAGATGGGTCATCTACAAATCAATGCAGCTTAATCTATAAATCAATGCAAAACTACTAAAAGTTTGAGCCAGGTTTTTCCTGGAACTTGACAAACCAATTCTAAATTCTTATTGAAAAGCAGGGCCAGCCCGGTGGCGCACTGCTACAGTGCGCCGCTTGGGAGTGTGGAGGCGCTCCCGCCCAGGGTTCGGATCCCACATACAGACCGGCCGCTCACTGGCTGAGCGAGGTGCGGGAGCAACACCGAGGGTTGCTATCCCATTGCCGGTCCCGGTCCGGTACGGGCGCGACACTGAGGGTTGCAATCCATTGCCGGACACGAGAAAAGACAAAAAGGAAAAAAAAAAAAGAAAGAAAAGCAAAGGGCCAAGAAGAGCTGAGGATGTGAAAGGATCAAGGAAGGTGCCTGCCTCGAGGAATGCCCGGGCTCGGTGCCCCTCCCACGAGGGCAGCACGCAGACCAGAGAGCCCACGCAGACATGGGTCTGGGACAGGGACTGAGGCAGGTGCTAAACAGCTCCCTTTGCCCCGCCACTCCAAGCTCCACCTTGCTCTGAGCCCTGGGATGCTCGCCTGTTGGCCATACCAGTAGCCTCCTTCCTATGGGGTCCCCGTGGCTTGGCTGTGTCCCTCAAAACTGCCAACACTCTGTCCACCTGGTCCTCTCTGTGTCCTGGTCCCTAAGGCCTAGGGGCCGTAGCAGAGCCCTGCTCCTGCAAGCCACGGCTGTGAGCTCTCACTCAGCCCATCCTGATGCAGCAGCCCTCGTGTCCTGCTGTCCTCTGGTACTGGACGGGGGCTGTTCGTACTTGGGAGAAGAACTTCACCACCTTACACCATCCACAGTGTCATTTATGGGAGAATCAAAGACCAAAATTAAAACAAAACAAAACAAATACTTTCAAGCCTTAGAAGAAAATATAGAATTATTTAGAATATGGAAAACAGAATACTTTCAGGACTTTATGATAGTGAAGGACTTCTTAAACAAGACGTGAAAAGTACAAACAATAAAGAACAGGTTGGTAATACTGACCACATCAAAACCCTAACCAAAGGAAAAGGCAAGTCCACGCCTGGACCCCAAATCAACCCAGGGAACCAAAAGGTGTTCCTGCCCAGCCTGCTCACAGAAGGTGTGCAAGCCACAGATAAGGACCACCTGAGAAAAGTGGCCAGGAACATAGCAGGACTGTTTTCCCAAGAGAATCCTGGCTGGCAGGTTAGCTGGGACATTGGGACAGGGACTGAGGCAGGTGCTAAACAGCTCCCTTTGCCCCGCCACTCCAAGCTCCACCTTGCTCTGAGCCCTGGGATGCTCGCCTGTTGGCCATACCAGTAGCCTCCTTCCTATGGGGTCCCCGTGGCTTGGCTGTGTCCCTCAAAACTGCCAACACTCTGTCCACCTGGTCCTCTCTGTGTCCTGGTCCCTAAGGCCTAGGGGCCGTAGCAGAGCCCTGCTCCTGCAAGCCACGGCTGTGAGCTCTCACTCAGCCCATCCTGATGCAGCAGCCCTCGTGTCCTGCTGTCCTCTGGTACTGGACGGGGGCTGTTCGTACTTGGGAGAAGAACTTCACCACCTTACACCATCCACAGTGTCATTTATGGGAGAATCAAAGACCAAAATTAAAACAAAACAAAACAAATACTTTCAAGCCTTAGAAGAAAATATATAATTATTTAGAATATGGAAAACAGAATACTTTCAGGACTTTATGATAGTGAAGGACTTCTTAAACAAGACGTGAAAAGTACAAACAATAAAGAACAGGTTGGTAATACTGACCACATCAAAACCCTAACCAAAGGAAAAGGCAAGTCCACGCCTGGACCCCAAATCAACCCAGGGAACCAAAAGGTGTTCCTGCCCAGCCTGCTCACAGAAGGTGTACAAGCCACAGATAAGGACCACCTGAGAAAAGTGGCCAGGAACATAGCAGGGCTGTTTTCCCAAGAGAATCCTGACTGGCAGGTTAGCTGGGACACGCCACCCACCCTCCCTGCACCCAGCAGCCTGCGAGGGGCACATGGTATTCTTTCCGCACAANGCCACCCACCCTCCCTGCACCCAGCAGCCTGCGAGGGGCACATGGTATTCTTTCCGCACAAGCTGCTCCGTGGTGTCCAGCTGGGTGCAGACCCCCACACCTGCTTCCCTCCTACAGCCTGTGACATGTGGTGAGGAAATGTGCTCCATGTTTGCCGAAGCATTGTCCTTCGTGTCCCTACACAGGAGAAGCCTAAGTGGACAGCATCCTGGGGATGCACTGGGATGGGCCGAGGGCCTGAGGCCCTGCAACGAGGCCACCAGAGCTCAGAGGCTCTGGGACCTGCATTCTCTGTAGCTCCCTTTGAGGACACCCACAGGGCAGGGGAGCAGGCACTGGTCACCCAGTCGGGAGAGGGCCACGGTGCTCTTCAGGCTGCTGGCTTAGCCCCTGGGAACCAGAGCCACCCACCCGGGGGCCATTGTGGTGGCAAAGGGGGCAAGTGCTTGGCTGTGCTCAGAACACAGCCTGCCCTGCCTTCCTCTGAGGAGCGTGGGGCTGGCCACCTGGACTGAGCACCGCGCTCCCTCCTTCCCAGGACTCCCTTGGATCACGACACGTCAGCCTGGCTGGAATGCCCAACGCCACTCGCGGGCCAGCACCCCATCCCCACAGGCCCGCCTGCTGCTCTGTGGGAGATGCGCAGCCACACACCTGGATGATCTTCTCCGGAATGTTGGAGACAGTGAAGCCGTAGAGGCGCACGCGCTCGGGGAAGATGCTGGACAGGATCCTGCGGTCCAGCTGGAAGGCGATCTCCCCCACCAGTCTATCCCAGGCCACCTGCTTCGACTCTGAGGATGACAGGGGTCTCGTCAGCTGGGCCGTTGGGGACAGACTGGAGCCGTGGTCAGCGGCCCAGGCGGCAGCAGGGGAGAGGGCCTGGGTGGGGCGTGCAGGCTTGAGCTGAGCCCTGCAGCATCACTCACCTCGGGGGTTGTTGGGGAACTTGCTAGTCTTGCGGTGGGTCAGCTTCCGCTCCAACTCCAGGTTGCTTTTCCGAGGCATTTCCGTGGTGCGTGGACCCCGGGTGTCATTGACTGAAGCCGGGGAGGATGAGGTGCGAGGTGGGGACTGGGGGTTGTGTGGAGGGGAGGGGGGGGCAGGCAAGGTCCGGGTGGTGGAGTGCTGCACCCGGGAGGGGGCCTGGGTGATGTGGGTGTTGCTCGAAGGGGTGTAGTTGGTGGCAGCTTGGGGGGCAGGAGTGGGGGTGGAGGCCAGGACTGTGGCCGGGGAGGAGGCAGGGACCGTTTGTCCCTGGGGGGCACTGGGCTGCGTCCGGGCATCCGAAGTGTTGAAGAAGGCTGTTGTGGGACCGGGCATGCCCGTGGTGCCCAGGGGGGTGGAGGTCTGCAGAGGCGCACCCATGAACGTCATGCTGAGGGGCTCTGGGTCCTGGGCTGGCCGGGAGAGCTCAGTGGAGAGTGGGACTAGTGATGTGGGAGAGGGCAGAGATGAGGGGAGGGGGCCAGGAACTGGCCTGGAAGGGGGCCCCTGCCCCCAGGGTACCCTGCTGCCCCTCCCTGGGCACCCATTACCTTTGCAAGTGGCAGCAGGCCCCACAACGGCTGAGGAATGGGGCCCCATGCGGCATGTGTGGAGCGGCTCTGCCAGCCGCACCCTCGGGGCCTCCGACAGCACCGGGTTGCTCATGGGATTGGCCAGAACATTCTGAGAAACACCTAGAGGGGCAGCCGTGGAGGTGAGCAGGGGGCCAGTCTGAGACACAGCGGGGGGGCCTGCCAGGGGGCTGCTTGGAGTCAGGGGGCCGGTGGAGGGCAGGCCCAGGGAGCTGGACAGTGTGGCCCCAGGAGGCACCCCCGCGAGGGACAGGTGGCTGCTCAGGGGCCCAGTCAGGGGGCTGGTGAGTGGGCTGCTCTGTGTCCCAGGCTCTGGGCCTGACAGCGGCGAGTTGAGAGGGCCTGTCAGGGGGCTCACGACGGAGCCCAGTGCAGGGCTGGGCTGCGGGCTGCTTAGCATGTCAGCCAGGGGCGTCAGAGCCACAATCCCCACTTCTTCCAGGGCCGGTTCGTTGGCTGCTGCTGGGGACGGGGGCAGGAAGACACCTGGGAGACACAGAGAAAGCACGGAGACCCCAGGTGAGCCCCTCCAGGGGCAATGGGGACGGCAGTCACAGGCTCTCCCATTGGCAGGGCCTGGCCGCCGTGCCCGTCTGCCTCTGGGGAGCTGACTGGTCTGACCTGACCGCCCTGAGCCTCACTTCGTAGGTGGACCACAGCATTGGCTCGTCCGCCTCTGCGGGGGGTTCTGCAGGGCAGCCAGTGGACGCTCCTAGGTGCAGGGCTGCCCTGTTGTCTCTCAGTCCCCAGGCCCTCATCTATAACCCCGACTCTCTAGTCAATCCTCCCGGGCTCATTTCTCTGACCATCTGCCCACAAGCCACAGTGACAGTCGCTGCCCTCTCCTCAGCTGTGCTCACAGTGCTGAGCTGCAGACTCCCTCACCCAGGGGAGAAGAGTTTCCCAGGGCTGGACTCCCAGGTCACCTCTGTTCTCCAGTGGGGAGGAGTGGGCCTGGGCCTGGGCCTTCTGGGGAGAGAAGAGCCCCAGCAGGCAGGGGCCCTGAAGGGGTCAGAGCTACAAAAGGCAGGACCTCACCTGGCCGGTGCTTGTGCACAGCTTCTGCCCTGCAGTGCTCGGTGTGGGGCGTGGCCGCCTGCATGGGGAATGCGGGCGCAAGAGGGCAGGTTGGATCTGGCCACGCACCCCGAGAGTCCCAGACTCATCTCTTTAGACCTCTGGACCCTTGAGTGGGGGCCTGGGAGCCTGATCTCTTGGGTTCTGGAGGAGAGTTCTCCCAATGACCCCTGTGTGGAGAGAAGCCCTTCTGAGGCCCAGCTGCTGCAGCGGGGTGGAGTGCAGGGAAGGTTTTTGAGATTATACAATATAATTGAAAACTTTCACTTTGTTTTGTTATAAAGGCAGCACATTCTCATTATAGGGAAAGAATGGAAATACAGAAAAGTTAAAAAAAGATAAAAACCCACTGATAGTCCAATCGTGCCATGGTCGGTCACTACTGAAAAGCTCCGTGTTGCCTTGAGGACTCTGCCCACACGTTTCTACAGGTCAGTGGTTGGCACACATTTTCTGTAAGGGTCAGTGGTACGTACTTCCAGCTTTGCCCGCCACATGGTCTCTGTTCCAGCGACTCTTGTCTGCCATTGTAGAGTGAAAGTGGCCACAGACAATCCCGAGTAGAGTGCTCGAGGACGCGTGGCAGTAAAACACTGTTGATGGACACTAATTTTTGAGTTTCATAGACTATTCACATGTCATGAAGGAGTATTCTTTTGATTTTCTTTCAGCCATTTAAAAATGTAAAGTCCGTTCTTAACTCACAGGCCGTGCACAAGCCAGTGGCGGCCGTAGAGATCACGTATGTCCTCTCGTTTCCTGCCGCTTCTTGCCGGTTCACACTTGTGGTGGCTGCGGAGACTTCCGTCTTATGGACATGCCCCCATTTACTGAGCCTGTGCCTATCGTTGGGCATTTAAATTGCTTCCAATGTTCCCAATGACAGATAACACTACCACATAAATCTTTATAACTGATTTTTCTTTTCCTGGAAATGAACATTTTATTTTATTTCATTTATTTATTTTTATTTTTATTTTTTAAAGATGACCAGTAAGGGGATCTTAACCCTTGACTAGGTGTTGTCAGCACCACACTCTCCCAAGTGAGCCACGGGCCTGCCCTCAGAAATGAACATTTTAGAGATTCTCAATGCACACTGCCAAATCTCCCTTCTTTTTTTTTTTTTTTTTTTCCTTTTTTTTGTCTTTTTTCGTGACCGGCAACAGATCGCAACCCTCAGTGTCGCGTCCGTACCAGACCGGGTCCGGCTGCGGGATCGCAACCCCCGGTGTTGTGCCCGCACCTTGCTCAGCCAGCGAGCGGCGGGTCTGT